AAGCAAATAAAATCTGAAGTCAGACGTCATTTCTGCTGCAAGGGCGCCGCCATGACAGTATATCCCACAATGTACTGCGCGAGCTGCGGTTCAAAACACAAACACGCGATGGCGACATAGCTACAAAATTCATTAAAATACATTTTGAACATGGTGGATCTTATTTACATACTTCGGCTATGATTTTGAAATAAAAAATAACACTGGTGACTTTTTTTTTCTTGTTTCCTAAACATTTTTTTTGTATTTATATTATGATTTCATATAAGCTTCTAGTTGGTGAAACTCATTAGGATATGATCGTCTTTATTGTTGAGAAATTGTAAGAAAAAAAAAATTAAAACAATAATATGTATGGATTAAACTATGTGATTCTCAAGGTTTACTCAAAACACACGTTTGCTGTTTGTCATTTATGTGTTTTCATAAAGTCAATGTATTGAAAATTTTTATTAAATATTAAAAAAGATAAATAGATAGATAGATAGATAGATAGATAGATAGATAGATAGATAGATAGATAGATAGATAGATAGACAGAGATAGATAGATAGATAGATAGATAGATAGATAGATAGATAGATAGATAGATAGATAGATAGATAGATAGACAGAGATAGATAGATAGATAGATAGATAGATAGATAGATATATAGATAGATAGATAGATAGATAGATAGATAGATAGATAGATAGATAGATAGATAGATAGATAGATAGACAGAGATAGATAGATAGATAGATAGATAGATAGATAGATAGATAGATAGATAGATAGATATAGATAGATAGATGCTGTACACAAACTTGTTTTTATTATTTCATCAAAGACATACAGTTCAGTTTTCATAATTTATATTTCAATCCACTTCAGCGTACAAATATATGAAACTCAAGCAAAAACCAGAACAACATAAGCAGGTTCTCTTAAGTTAAAAGGAAAGTTGATCAAATAAAAGGCAAGACACAAAGACTGAGATATTGACTGGTTTAAACAAATACGATGAGCATTTTTTAGCTAAAACAACCAATAGACAACACGCTATTCTGCAAAAGAGGAAATGACTGTAATATACAGTATAGAACAAATTAAACCACAGAAGTTTCAGCCTGATCTCATGAGGAAATGTAACGGTAACTACTTTACATTTTGTCAGTTTAGTGGTGAATGCGTGCAAATTCAGTCATACAAAAATTGGGTACGAATTTTAAAAGAAGGCGTGGCACAAACCCCGCCCCTAAACCCAACTGTCATTGAGAGATGAGCAAATCGCACTAAATTGTACGAATGAGATCTCATGATTTTATACGAATTAGCCACTAAATCAAAACGTTACGGATTGCCACGAGATAGTGTTGATACATGCACAGAGGGACACTAGGCTTATGTTCATGCAAGTATTTTGCCAGATAAAGTAATTAAAACATTACAAAACATATTAAAAAAAAGATTAAGAACCGAATAAGGATTGAAAAGGGAAAAAGAAACATAAACTCAAAACAAAACCAAGAAATGCCAGGACCATAGTTGAGCATTGTTCAGTGATGTCTTTTTCATAGCTTCCCGACCGATTATGCCCAAATTAAACTCAGAGATGGCATAATCAAAGTGCATTGTTGACTTTCACATGGTCAGAATATAATCATATTAATGTGGATTTTGAAAGACCGTTGATCCCATAAAATTGATAGAGAGGCTTCTGTGTGAACACAAACACATCCAGGGATTGATATTAAAATAAGGGCCTGGTAACATTGCCGTGATCAGTCCTGAAACCTGCTCTTTGCGAACAAAAGGACAAATGTTATAAGGAATGTGTGTGTGTGTTCCAGAAAATCCCTAGGAGTGTAAATAAACCAAAATGTAATGATCTTAGCCAAATCCAACCCAGGCTCAATGCGGATACGAACCTAGGTCAACATTTCTGGGGAAAGCGGAATACGTAACCAGAGGTACGTCTGCTCTCAGTTGTTGTTTTTGCTGCTGTTGTTGTTGCTCTTCTCAATATACAGAGGGCGCAATATACACTTCAGCCGATCAGGCCAGCTTGCTGTCAACTGACTGACTGACTAACCCCTTCCCTAAACCCAACCGATAGTGTTTTCAAAAGCAATCTAGAAAAAGAAAAGCTGACGCTTCATTTTAAAGACGAAATGCAGACAGACATACCTCTGGCTACATAATTCGCGCTCTCCAGAAATGTAGACAGGGGTATGTATACACAATGAGCCTATGTTGGACAAATCCCAACATAGTATTTTCCAGAAATGAAAAGTGATAGAAAAGGTAAGTAAGTGGCTCTCCAGGATCAGAGTTATATATGTAGTGACTAATATATTGAAAGGTCTTTCACATTGATGGAAAATAACTTGTCACTTTGTCGCTAAATCAGAAGGTCAAATGGTTCATTTGATATCCTAAGTCTGTGTAAAATCAAAATGTTCAGTGCTTCCTTTGCTAGCTCACGTTGTTGTTCTTAGAGTGAACAATTGTTCCGTGCAACTGAATCCACTGAAAAATAATGTTTGTTTTGGTAATTATCAATCAAAGTCTGACCATCTGCTTCTTCGTTTGAAGTGGTGGTCCTTCCCAGTTGACCATTCCGCTCTTACCGTTAGTTTGCTAAAAGGGAATGACGGACAAACGAAAGCCTCGCCCCTACTCAATATTCAGTTTCAGCTACAACTACATCAACATACTGAAATAGAAATCTCAACAACTTCAGGCTCACGCGGACTTTAACTTGACTCACTGAAAATTGTGTTTGTGAAAACAGAATCTATAGTAAACGCCGAATCAAAGATTTTGTCAGGTTTGTGGTCTTCTTCTTCCAAAACAGGGCTTTCTTTTGGAGCCTCCTCGCTGGGCTCAGGTTGATGTTCTTTGCAGTTCTTACTTGAAACCGATCCCACTGACTTCCCAGACACAGTGCTGAGGACACTGGCACGCCGACTGTTGCCTTCGGACGTGGAGATGACGCAGCTGGCTCGAGGAAGAGTAGACAGAGCCTGGCCTGTTTTGGGGCTTCGCATCGGAGTGGCAAAGCAATTCAAACATCCTGACACCGAGGAGGACTTCCCATGAGCATCGAGGGCAGGTTTGGAATCAGACTCTGTACTTTGAACGCTCTGAGTTTTATACAGTCCGATGTTTGCTTTGTCCAGCTTTGGGGTTGAGCGGTCTCCGGCAGATCTTCCACTGCTTGTACGCCCTACCCCGCTCCCTGAGGAGCAATAACCCTGCCTGAGCTCCTCATGGTTGGGGCGGGAGGACGAAGGAGAATCGTTGAATCGTTGACGGTTGGAGGAGAATGGATCTGGATGGGGGCTGCTATCACTGGACCAGGCCTCGTTCTCCAGGCTCACACTGAACTCACCACTGCTTGCGCTGGGGGCACGGCTCGATTTGCCATTCGTGCCTGCTAAAATGTAAATTACAGGGTGTTGAAAATTCAACAAGCTCATGCAACCTATGAGTTGTTATTGATTTGCTATGGTTCTTACATTGGTTTCTACCATGATCTTGGCCTTCGGTGCCATTTGTAAGACCTGATGGAATCGTTTCTTTACCTGAAGGGACAAATGTGCATTGTTAGGTACTCAAGACCAATGGCCCTAAACTTCAATCCTAGGGATCTAATGCTCTGCACACATATGTTTCTTTTATCTGAAACACATGGTTCAGTTCACGGAGCTCACTGCTAATAAGCTGTTTTAAAGAATAACAAACAAAATGTGCAGCACGGTGTGTTCCCTCACATGTAGGATCCATGTCTCTAGATCAAGGGAGCAAGACCTGTTTAAACAGGACCGAAGTTAAATCTCCAGAAAACTAGTCTTGCATGAATAAGTTTGGGCACCCCTTTTCCGGAACATGGACTGTGATCTAGTTGTAACTTTAAAGGGATAGTTCACCCAAAAATGAAAAAATTCAGAAATTAGTTTTCTCACACTTGACTTGTTCCAAAGTAAACTAGGTTGGGGTTTTTTTTGTCCTGTTGAACACAATATATAAATATATATAAAAAAAGAATGTTGTTTTGTTTAACATTCGGAACAAAAAAACCCCCAACTGATTTGGAAAAGACAAGGTTGAGTAAATGATGACGGAATTTAACATTTTTGAACTATCCCTTTAAGACAGGTGTATTTATGTTGAAAAGTTACATGTAAGACTTTAATCAATTCAATTGTAAAGCCACGAAGCACCAGAGCAGTGAAATGGTGCTTGCCATGCAAAAGTTGCAGCCACATTACATATGCCGGAATGTCGCAATGCATTTGGTAAGGTGAATGGATTTTAGGATGTTGAGTGTTTCAGTGATTGCCAGGGCATTTCTATACAGATGCTATGTTGTTGTATAGTAAGTGTTTCTGTAATACGTTTCTATGAAGTTCCATGTTGTTTTTCTATGCAATTTCAGAAGGTTTCCAAGTGAATTTTAAATTTTTTTCTGTATTTTTAAATTATTCCTATGAAGTTGATTAAAGGGATTGTTCAACAAAAAATTCTGTCATAATTTACTCACCTTTTACTTGTTTTAAACCTTTATAAGTTTCTTTCTACTTTTAAACTCAAAAGAAGATCATTTAAAGAAAGACAGAAACCTGTAACCATTGACTTCCGAAGTATTTGTTTTTCCTACTATGGATGTCAATGGTTACAGGTTTTCAACTTTCTTCACAATATCTTTGAGATCTAGAAGAATAATACTCGTAGAGGTTTAGAAACACTTGAGGATGAGTAAATAGTGAGTAAATTTGAATGTTTGGGTGAACTGTCCCTTTAAAGGTTCTAAAGAAGGGGGAGCATGTTGTTAATGCCATGGCCTTTTGGTGGTCGCTTGCTAGAGCATTGCTATACAGTTGCAAAATGTGTTTTCTAGGATATGGATGGTTGTCAGAGTATTGCTTTTAGGAGCTTAAATGTTCAAGTTGTTTTGCTGTGGTGGTTTATGGGGTGCCAAGATGTTTCTATTCAGTAGATAAAGTGTTTTTAAGCATTTATTAAAAATCTGCTACAGTTGAAGTCAAAATTACTATTAGCCCTTTATTC